CGAACCTTGCACGGTCTCACCCAGCAAGGCCTATGTGTGGAGATCATAACTTCAAAAAGTAAAAAAAAAAAAAGTTAACAGGTTTTAACAGGTTTCAAAGGTAGGAACAGAGGGGGACAAGGCACACACTAGCCAGGTGGGCACAAATTTCTGGGTTTCATCCTTAGTGCCCCATAAACTAAGGCATGCTGGCGAACACCTGTAGTCTTGGCGCTTGGGAGGTGGGGACACGAAGGTCCTCAGTGCAGTCTCATCCTTGGCTGTATCTCAAGTTAGAGGCCAGGCCCTGGGCTTCGTGAGGCCCTGTCTACCCAAGAGCACCCACAACCTAAAGCGAGCAAGTGAAAGTACCTGTAATTTTAATACCAAGCTCAAAATTCTTGGGTGGCACAAGCCAAGAATTTGGGTGTGTTTGCCCAAGGAATAGGTACCTTCCAAAAAAAATAGTGTGGTCTGGTTGCATAGACAAGCTTTGAGCCGGTTATTCTCCAGTTTGCTAAGATCAACAAAAGCAGAGCTGACGCTGCTCCCGTGCCATTAACTGAAGCGGTTTCATTCGAAATCTATTATGTGACCCTTCCTTCCTTCCTTCTCTTTCTTTCTTTGTTTTTTTCAAGACAGGGCTTCTCTGTGTAGTTCTGTGTTTCCTTGTGTAGACAAGGCTGCCCTTGAACTCAGAGATCCCTCTCCCTGCCTCTGTGTCACAAGTGCTGGAACCAAAGGCATGTGTCACCATGCCTGGCAATTACGTGACTGTTTTTTGCAGGTATTGTCTTTCCCATCACCTCAAATCAGAGGAAAGGTGAAGGCTGCCTCTCCTGCAGGAGCATGGTTCTACTCATGGGGTTTGAGCACTCTTCTGTAGCTTCCAGTTTTAAACCAACTCATATGCTTTCTCCCATCACTGGCTGTTCGCCCAACTCTCATCCAGAGATGTCCTCCAACTGAAGGTCCATCTGGTTCACAAGTGGCAACCACGGACCTTGGCTTTACCTAACTCCTGGCTCACTGTGTAAAAGTTATGGCCAGAGGCCTCCACGCACCTCATAGCTGAAGTAGAAGTTACCCATCCGCTCAGCAAATTGCCAGAAACACTCTGTGGCGCCCGGGTGGATCACAATGGCAAAGTCATGCCGATCGGCTACACGGACGGGTGGCTGGTCCTCGGAGCCAAGCTGGGGCTCTGTCTCCTGGCTCTTAGCAGAAGTCACCAGGCTTGACACCGCCAGCCCGGCCACAAGGAGCAAAGGGAACATGCTCCCTTCTGTAGATCCTCCCGCAGGTGAGCTGCCCCCAGCCCTGTGGAAAGGAGGGCTGACAGGCATCCAGCTAATCATTAACCCCACAAGTCACAGGTAGGACCAGTTTCAGGGCCGATGGTAGATACTTGGCAGTACAGGCGCCGAGCACCGCACCGCCCCCTCCCCGCTCCACCCCCAGCGCAGTCTCACTACCCCCCCCACAGCATATTTCTGTAATGCAGGTGCTATGTGCAGTACGCTGGCAAACCCCCCCCCCCCCGGGCGATCCCCCGCCCCTTCCCCGGGCTATCCCCCGCCCCTTCCCCCGTAGCTTCAACCTGCCCCCTCCGGCCTCCGTGTTGGCTCACACAAAGATTTTGCTTTCACCTCAAGAAGGTAGCTTGCCAGATCTAGTTAATGGGTGCTGGAAAGGTGCTTTATCACAAGAGAGCTCTCCACCCATTCGCGCTGTTTTCTCAGTTCTTGCCTCGTGCAGATTAAATACGGGGCTAGTTAATGTAGAGCCATTTTCCATACTGACCAAGCTGGTTGGGGTGACAGCTCTCACAGCAAATGGCTAGGTGCTGCTGTTGCCCAGTCAACACCAGGGCAGCACCTACCAACAGATTTCGTGGCCTAGAGCAAAGCACAGCGCATACGTGCACACAAAATGTAGTTTTTTTCTCACTTTTTGGGGGTGGGTGGGGTGGGGTGAGGTGCACGGTGTCCTGTGTAGAGCAGACTGTCTCGTTTTTGGTTTTTGAAGACAGGGTTTCTCTATGTAGCTTTGGCTGTCTTGGACTCACTGTGTAGACCAGGCTGGCTTCGAACTCACAGAGATCTGCCCGCCTCTGCCTCCCCTAAGTGCTGAGATTAAAGGCGTGCTCCACCACAATGGGTGACCAACTGCTTTTTAAAAGATTTATTTTATGGAGCTTGGAGTTTTGTCTGCATGTATGTATGTATGCACCAGGAGACGGCATTGGATCCCACGGGACTACAGTTATAGTGGGTTCTGAGCCACCATGTGGGTTCAATTTCTGGCACCCAGTACCTCCAGAAGAGCAGCCAGTGCTCTTAACCCAATATTGACCTTCTCTTCAGCTCCCCAGCGTGGTCTTGAACTCAGAGACTTGCCTGCCTCCGAGTGCTGAGATTAAAGACGTTTGCCCCCATACTCAGCTAATAAAGGTTTTAATATATGAAGAATGTTGGCTAGTTTATGTCAATTTGACACATGCTATACTCATCTGAGTCGCGGGAGCCTCAACTGAGAAAATGCCACCGTAAGATCAGGCTGCAGGCAAGCATGGAGAAGGTTTTCCTAGTATTTGATGTGGACCAGTCTATTGTGTGGGCCACCCATTGGCTGATGGTCCTGGATTCTATAAGAAAATAATAGGCAGAGGAAAAACTGGATAAAAACTAACAAGCAACACTCCTCTGTTAAAGATAATTTACCTTTTTTTTTTTTTTTTTTTTTTTTGGTTGTAGCCCTGCGTGTCCTGGACTCACTCTGTAGACCAGGCTGGCCTCAAACTCACAGAGATCCTCCTGCCTGTGCCTCCTGAGTGTTGGGATTAAAGGCGCGCACCACCACCACCCAGTTTGATAATTTACATTTTGAAGGAGGCTTTTTTTTTTTTCCCCTCAAAACAAAGTTTCTCTGTTTAACCTTGGCTGTTGGCTGCTCTGGACTCACTCTGTAAACCAGGCTGGCCTTGAACTCACAGAGATCCACCTGCCTGTCTCCCAGAATGCCAGGATTACAGGTGTGTGTCACCACACCTGGCTGAGGGAAGCTTTTTAAATCACTCATTCTAGCAAATAAATGACAGAGACTTAAAAACATTATTAATAAGCTTTAGACTCAATAACTGGGCAGATTCGCATTTATGCTAATCCTCTATGCTAGTCTTATTTCTTAGCCATGTGCTCCTATTTACTTGCCCTATCGGTCCTGTCTAGGCTGTTTCTGTTCCATCAAGTCAGTCCCTCACTGAATTGTCATCTTTCTCTCTCTCTGTTCTCCCCACTACCTCATGGTCGCTATCTGTGATCCCAATACTGGGATGGAAACACCACCTACCTATCTCTTATGCCCAGAATTGGCTGTCCAGATTCTTTATTGACCAATCAGAGATAATTTGGGAGTAAAGTTTACACGACACTGGTCAGTGTAGATGACGGTGCCCTCCTCAGGAGGCCTGGAACTCAGCATTTGCATACACAGAGCGCCAGACCGGTCTCCAACACTCCTTCATGGCTTCTGCATCGGCTTCCGCCCAGGTCCCTGCCCTGCTCTTGACTTCTTTCAAAGATGGAGATGTGGAAGCATAAGCCAAAGAAACCCTGCCCTTGGTTGTGGTGCTTCCCAGTGACCCAGACCAAGACAGAGTGAACGAGAAGATGGTCCACCCACCCGCTGGGTCTCTCTCTTCCACCTGGCTGGTTTATCTAAAAGCTCTTCAAAACCCTCTGGAAGATGGTATTGTGTAAGCCTTCTTTTCTTTTATTCACTTCTCTGGCACCCACAGGGAGGGAAAGTTGTTCAAAATCCACTTTAAAACCATCATATACTGCAATTCTAAAGCCATGCACGTCCCAGTCCTCAACTCCTTTTCGTGGCTTCCACACCACTGACTCCATGACAGGCACCGGGCTCGGAATTTCGCCACCATTTTCTTTCATCCTCACAATAGCACTCTAGGGAAATACTGTCTTCTAGCATATTAGAGGACACTGACACAAAGCTGCATGCCTCATGTAACAGGCATTCATGTAATAGACACAAACCTGAATGCCACAGTAATAGCTGCCATAGCTGGAGTTAGGTTTCTCAAGCTTGTTGCTTCCCAAATTCTGACGTTTGAAACAGGGTTTCTCTGTGTAGCCTTGGCTGTGCTGGACTTGCTTTGTACACTAGGCTGGACTCGAACTCAAAAGATCTGACTTCCTCTGCCTCTCGAGTGTTGGGGTTACGGGCGTGAGCCACTGCACCTGACTGTATTTGCCCCTTTAAAGCAAGTTTCTCATAATTCATCCCACTGGCTGTGACATTCTTCTGTCACAGCAGAGAGCAGACTTGAGGTCTGATGAAGCAGGACAGCATCTCAGCACCTGGGAGGCCTGGTTGCTCTAGGGCAGTTTTTAAGTCAGGGAGCCCAGGGCTACCTCCTTCCACAGAAAATTCTACAGTTCAATAAAAAGCAAAGTACAATTGTTTCAGGAGCCCTACTCAAGTCCTGTAGAAACATGACAAATGCTAACTAGGGTATTTTGCCTCTTTAATTCATCAGTCTCACCCTTCTCCCTAGAATGACCTTTTTAACAATGGGGTCGGAGGGCAAGAAAGCGGTACTCTCGTCAGGGATGGAGGGAGGCACCGCACTGAGCAGCTCTGGGTCTCACCTCCCTGTGGCTGCATTGTTGGCTGAGGAGAGAGCAGGAAGACTGCTGCCAGACCCAGCTGACAGGCACTGAAACAGCACTTTCCACATTTCAATGAGGCGAAAGGGGAACTTCCACACATCTCTAAACCTGCCTTTCACTCCTCAGAGAGAAAGCAGGGACTCTTTAGCCCCTAGATAAAACGATACTTATGGGGAAGAGAAAATGGAGAGGAACCTTCTACAGCATGTGTGGAATGGCACCCACGGACTACAAAGTAGCTTCCTATCAGCACAACAGCATCCTGTGGCAGCTTGATCCTCATGTGTGCTGCCTGATCTGAATACACGTTGCAATTGACCAGCTGTGGAAACTTGAGAGAAGCAAGACTTTAATAATGAAGAATGCTACAAGTAGGAACACTTCATTCTCATATTTAAAAAAAGGTTACAGAAAACACTGTACTGAAATTTTTGTTTTGCTAAAAAGACAGTCTTTAAGGGTGTCTGAGGGACAGCAAGCACAACACAGTACAAAAGGAGAAGGGCATGTCAGATTTCAGGGCAAGGCATGAACAAAGCAGGACTAGGGAAATGTAGAAGCAACGTTTCACAGAGGGCGAGTTAGGCGTTGCATCCAACAACTCATGTTTGTAAGCTTCTGAAGTTCAGCAAAAGGAAGGGCTCCAAGAATGGGGTGGGGTGTCTAAGCTTATCTACAATCACCATTTTACCAGAAAAAACAAAACAAAACAAAAAAAAAAAACCCACACTTGTTCAACCACACGAGAAGCTCGGAGGATGAACCTGCCATGTAGCCCAGCATCCATTAACGGGGGATGCCAGGGCAGTCAGGTCCAGGGCTGATGATGCGAGTGGCTGAACAGTTTTTAAAAGGAATCTGATTTCACAAGCACTGAAAATCTCTCCTGTGGGCTCAGCACACGGAGTTCCTTTGTACTTGAGTCGGAGGCCAACTCAGCGAGGATTAAGTTCGTCCTAGACAATGCTCACATCGCTGGTTTTGACAGGTCCCGGGATCACAGATGCTCCTAATGGATTCCATCATTTCTTAGAAGGGTCTATAGATTACTGGGGATTCAGATTGAAGCAAGCCACTAGAGGGAGACGCTAATGATATTCTGGCACTGCACAAGCCGCGTGCCTGTAGTCCCTGCCGCAGACATGCGGCAGACCCGGCTTCGCTTCTTGGCTTCATGATCTCCGACAACAGCGATGGGGGTGTACCCAGGCTCTCCCAGTACAGAAAGAGGCGCCCTCAATTCTCACCTCAGTCCAGCTTCTGAGAAAGATATCACAGCTCTTTTGACTCCTGTGGAAATGAACACCTTTCTCAGTTCATGCCAAGCCTTTTCATGGTCCGCCAGCGATCTTTAATCATCACAGCTGTTCGGTTAATAAAGGGGTAATTTTTAGAAATGGCAACCCAGTTTCCTTCCCCATATTTCTGCACTCCGGCCTTCACCCACTCGCTCTCTTCTATGGTCCACTTCTGCAAAACAAAACCAAACAACTTGTCAAAACTTGTTGCCACTTACCTCTTTTCCAACATACTGAGCAAATCAAACCCAAAAATCCTATGAGCAGGGCTGGAGAGATGGCTCAGAGGTTAAGAGCACTGGCTGATCTTCCAGAGGTCCTGAGTTCAGTTCCCAGCAACCACATGGTGGCTCACAACCATCTATAATGAAAATTGGTGCCCTCTTCTGGTGTACATGCAGGCAGAACATTGTATACATAATAAAATAAATAAATCTTAAAAAAAAAAAAATCCTATGAGCATACTCTGAAGCCAACAGCTGTTTACAACAGGTATAAGCTGAATGTGGTGACACAGCACGCCTTAATCCCAGTACACGGGAGGCAGAGACAGGTGGATCTCTGTTTCAAGGACATAGAGCTACAGAGAGAGCCACTGTCTAAAAACAAAAACAACAAAACAAAGATCGGATAAACAGCAAACAAACACTATAGTATCCAGATAGTAATCAATGTTCTGACATGTCATTTTTTTTAAATAAATTCATTTGTTTTATTTATTTATTTGCTTTTTTATGTGTATGAGTGCTCCTCTGCATGTACACCTGCATGCCAGAAGAGGACATCAGATCTCAGTATAGATGGTTGTGAGTCACTATGTGGTTGCTGGGAATTAAACTCAGGACCTCTGGTAGAGCAGACAGTGCTCTTATCCACTGAGCCATCTCTCCAGCCTGATAGTCACTCCTGTGGGGCTGGAGGGATGACTCAATGGTTATGAGCGTTTGCTGTTCTTGGCAGAGGACCTTGGTTTGGTTTCCTGCACTTGCATGGTGGATCACAACCATCTGTAAACTCTAGTTTAAGGAGGTCTGATATCCTCCTCTGGCTTCCTGGGCACTAGTGGTACACAGACATACATGCAGGCAAAACACTCACACACAGAAAAAAAACCTCAAATCCAGTATTTGAACTTAGTTGGAACTGTCTTAGGAGTTATTTTTACTAGGTGCATGAGTAATTTTTGCCTGAGAAAGAGGACTTGTTTTAGTAGTTCTTACAAAACTGACAGAAAGTCTTAAGGGCTGGAGAGCTCAGACCACGGTTAGGAGAGTGCACAGGCTGTCCTTCAACAACAGCTGGCTCCACTCCCAGCACCCACATGGCAACTGTAACTCCAGTTTCTAGTGACCCAATGCTTTTCTAGCCTCTGCAAGCACCAGGCGGGCACTCGGAACACAGGCGTACCCAGTTTTGGTTTCCAGCACCAGTAGAGGAGGCTCTTAACCATCCGTAACTCCAACTTTGGGTATCTAACACAATCTTCTGGATTCCATGGCTACTGCACTCACATACATAAGCCCACATAAAATAAAAAATAAAATCTTACTGGTAGATAAAACATTCACACATAGAGTTTTTAAAAATTACCTGCTTTCTTGTTAAACTGGATGACTTGTCCTCAACTGGTGCTGTTGGAGAACATGAAAAGTACACATAGCTTGAGTTTACATAAAGAAAACAAAGTATCCCTGAAAAGAAAACTTGGTTTAAATTTCCCAGGTTCTGAAGGCTGAGAATGCAGCACTGTAACAGAATAACCATCTAGTTTGAAAAGGCTGAGTTTGATCCCTAGAACAGCAAAAGGAGCAAAAAACACATAAACCAACCAACCAAACAAAAAAGCCCAAAAAACCAAATTTTACTACTGTTGAAAATAAAAAGAACATCACTAAAGGGTAACTTCTTTCTGTTCTTTGCCACCATCACCTAAGCTCTGAGAATCTGTATAGAAAAATGCTTTACAAACAGGCTTCATTTATATTTATTTGTTTGGAGTTTTGTTTGTTTCATTGTTTTGTTCTTTGAGACAGAGTTTCTCTGTGGAGCCCTGGCTGTCCGGGAACTCACTCTGTAGACCAGGCTGGCCGCAAACTCACTTAGAAATCAGCCTGCCTCTGCCTCCTGAATGCTAGGATTACAGGTGTGCGCCACAACCACCAAGTTCCAATAAATTATGATCAAACACAAGACTTCAAGCTCTTGGGGATGAAGAGATGGCTCAGTGGTTAAGAGAACTGAGTGCTCTTCCAGAGGACCTGGGTTCAATTCCCAGCACCCACATGGCAACTCACAACTGTCTGTAATTCTAAGATCTGACACCCTCACACACATGTACATGCAGGCTAAACACCAGTGCACATAAAAGACTTCAAACTCTTTACCAAAACCATTATTTTCTATCCACTGAGGGCCTACTACACTTAAAATTTTAATATAGGGCTCAGCAGTAGTGTGTTTGCCTAACAAACACAGAGCTTAAATTCCATGCCCCAAATCTCAAAATAAAAATTTAGGCCTGGAGAGATGGGCCGTATCTTTGAGAAGACTCAAGGCTGGTTTTCAGTCCCTCTATCAGGTGGCTCTCAATCATTTGTAACTCCAACCCTGGGGATCTGACACTCTCTTCTGAATTCCATGGGCACTGCAGTCACATGCACAAGTCCACATACATACACAGAATCAAAACGAAAATCTTAAAAGAACCTACTACATATGTGTATATATCACACATAACCCCTTGATAATAATCACTTTACTGTTTTCTGCTAACAATTTAAAAGCCTTGGGGGCTGGTGAGACAGCTCAGTGGGTAAAAATGGATGTGACCAGTGGTGGGATTACTGCATGCCAGTAATCCCAGCTCTCAGGGAGGCAGGGGCAGGAGGATCTTTGCGAATTTGAGGCCAGCCTGGTTTACAAAGTGAGTCCAGGACAGTCAAGCCTACACGGAGAAACCCTGTCTCCAAACAACAACAACAACAACAGGAGTGTGTGTGATCACTTCTGACTGCCTGGGGCTAATCCCTGGACCCACATGGCAGAAGAAAACTGATTCCCCAAGTTGTCTTCTGACCTCCATACACAGCCCATGGCATGTGTATGTACAAATAAATGTAATTTATTCATTTTTCCTTTTCTTTCTTTCTTTTTTTTCTGAGACAGGATCTCAGACTGGCCTGAACTCAGAAAGAACCTCCAGTCCTGCCATAAGAGTGCTTGGCTTAAAGCCATGTGTCACCATGACCAGCCAGTCTCTAGGAAAATACTGAAAACCTTTTTTATCCTAGTATTCAGGAGACAGAGGCAGGTGGATCTCTGTGAGTTTGAGGCCAGTCTGTTCTATAGAGTGAGTTTCAGGATTGGCAGGGCTACACAGAGAAACCCTGTCTCAAAACACAAAAATCACTTTGTATATGTGTGTGGGCACACTCAAGATAAGGCTTGTGTGCGGAGGTCAGAGAATGAGCTGTGAGAGCTGGTGCTCTCCTTCCACTCTGTCGCTCTGAGGACTGAACTGGGGTCAACTGGCTTGACAACAGGTGCCTTTTCCCAGCGTCATTTTGGGACCCTCATGGAGGGTACTTTTTAAGGACAAGACCTTTGGAATTGGGAAAGAATTACTGTTGCCATTACAAATCTTTACAACTTTCCAAATGAAGATTTAGCTCTTATCTATTTCTATTACAATGTAAAATATGAGCTGGGGGGGGGGCCCTCATAGCTTTAATCCCAGCACTCAGGACAGGCAGGCAGAGCTTTGAGTTTGAGTTCGAGGCCAGCCTGGTCTACAGAACAAGTTCAAGGACAGCCAGGGCTACACAGAGAAAGTCTGTCTTGAAAAAACAAACCAAAAAGCAAAAAGCAAAATATACAGTGGAAAAGATTCTAATGCAAATGCAAAAGAGCTGTAGAAGCAATTACAGAGAACTACAGTGTCTGTCTTATACATGCATGCACAGGCAGGGTAAGAGATCTTTCCCTTTCACTTGGACGGAGGATGTGTGTAGTAGCTCAGGACACACACTAAAGAGCCTTTTATTTAAGGAGGGGCCAGGAAGATGGCTCAGCAGGGAAAGGCACCTGCTGCTAAGTCTCATGACCTGAATTTGATCTCTGGAACCCACATGGTGGTAGAGAACAGACCTGAAAGTTGGCCTGACTCCTACATGCATTGTGCTACCTCCCTGCCCCGAACATAAATACAGAAATACAATGTCGTTGATTTTTTTTTTTTTAATACAGGAGACCTAGCACTCAGGAGACAGAGGCAGGTAAGTTCAAGTCTATCTATAGACTTCCTCGTCTACATTTAGTTTCAGGCCGGCCAGGGCTACATAGTGAGGCCCTGACTCCAAAATAAACAAACAAAAGGGAAAAACAGTGTGATGAGTGAATCCTAGGTGAATCCTAATCTCAGAGCTTTGGAAGCGGAGGAAGGAGGCTCAGGAGTTCAAGCCAGCATGGACTACATGAGACTCTGTCTCCTCACTCTAATGCCATCAAGGAAAAAAAAGGAAAAAGAAATACAGGGGACCAAATATGAAATCCTGATGATTTCACGCCTGTGATCCCAGCACCTGGGAGGCTGAGGCAAGAGGAACCTGAAATTAAGGCTAGCCTGCGCTACACAGCAAGATCCTGTTAGCAATAAAACAAAACTCTAATTCTTGATGATTCAAAATGGCATCATATACTTATATTTAAGTGGGCGGCAGACACTTCTGGAACACAAACACAACAGTACCATGCATCACACGTGAAAAACATCCACAGGAGGGCAGGGAGACTCTGAGGCTTACCCGGAACTTCAAACAGCTCATCCTCTTCCATCCACACTTCCTTCTCTTCAAGCCCGTTACGGCTGTCCCACTTGCCTTTGGATATTCTATGGGAGAACAATGAAGATGAGCCATGAAACACTCCCTTCACGCCAAACTCTTGGCTCACTTTCGGCACGTGAGTACTCAGGACTCACTCCACAATGTTCAAATTCACCATCATTTTCCGGGGCTGGCCAGGCTATATGTGAACATAGGCCATAGGTCAAGTGTCAAACTGGACACTGTGTAAGTATATTACCTTATTGCCATCTCCCTCAGAACTGCTTTATCTCCTCAGTTAGGTTTTGGACGGGGCTGTACTGAGTACATGCTGGCCGGGAGCTCTCAATCCTCCTGCCCCTCCTTTCTGAGTGTTGGGATTACAGGAATGTGTCAACATACCTAGTCATTTGGGCTCCTTCAAATGTCTTGGCATTTCTCTGACTTGGAAGGAGCAAACCCTTCCCTGCCCCTCAGGGCCATGCTCTGTGCTCCTACATTCCCCCTAACTTTGGCAGGCTCCCTATTCTGGGAGTTAAGCTCAAGATACCCTTCATCAGTATTACACCAGCCTCTTCTCCCAGACAACCTCATAAAAGCATACTGACTGGGCACAACAGCCCATACTTGTAACAGTACTTGGGAGACTAAGACAGGGAAATCACAAATTCAAAGCCAGCCTGAAATACATAAGCTGGACTATTTAAACAACAGCAAATCAGCACAGTTCTCTGTGGGCTCTGAATCCAGCCATTTCCTACCTTGTGTCTACAACACCCTACATTTATAGCAGTTACTCTCAAGCTTCCTCTTGTGATGACACTTTAATACAGCCCCTTATGCTGTGGTGATCCCTGACCACAAAATTATTGTTGTTGCTACTTCATAACTCTCATTCTGCTGGTTAGGAATTGTAAATATCCGATATACAACCCCTGTGAAAGGGCCATTGAACCCCCAAAGGGTCGGAAGCCATAGGTTGAGAACCGCTGACCTACAGCGGCCCAGGCTACTTCTTATTACCTCTGACTTACCCTGACTTATTACCTCTGTCTGGGAGTCCCTCCCCGGCTCGGGAAGCTTCAGTACCATAAAAATCAATCCTTCTCCTCCGTGACAGGGTTCTACTGCCCAGGCTGGCCTTGTATGTGCTGTATCATCAAAGACCTGGAGCTTCTGACCCTCCTACCTCCACCCAAGTGCTCTAACGGCATGTGTCACCAGCTCTTCTGTGGTGCTGAGGACCAAACCAAGGGCTTCATACCTGCTAGGCCACTCTACCAACTACACTACAGCCCGTCCTGAAGCTACTGATCCCAACGCGGGGGGCCTCTGCAGACCTACAGCTGCACGCCTGCGTATGCTAACAAAGCCAGTCAACGTCCTCCCACCCCTCTGTAAGTTTCCTGAGAAACTACCTGACCAAGCAGCTCAGACAAATGGTAGACAATGTACTCTGTGCTTAATCTGGATTAGATCTTGAGAATAGTTCACTTGAAACAAATGACAAACATTTACAATCGGTCTTTCTTTTCAGTTTTACTATGGATCACTATTTACAGACGGACAGGTGACAGTTAGGATGCTGAATTCTCTGCTTTTCCAGTCATGAGCCTGGATCTTGGTTCCCCGCCGGCCACCATTTCCCGAGCTGCTGCCCTGCTCTCTCTGTAGTTTCTGAATGCTCAGCACCGCCCTCTGCACAAACGTTTTAGTAGGGATTGCCTGGGGCCTAAGTGCCTGTATAGAGTGTCCCACTGACTGCTGTCTGCATCTCTTGTGTGGAAGAGACTGAGAATAGAGTCCTCCTAGTATCAGGTGGCTGTGAAGCCCAAGGCAAGTCGGGCCATTTTTTGATTCTTATGCTTTCTCCTCACTGGTTAAACTTCATGAACGCTGTGGTCTAGCAGGGACTTGTCAACCAGCTTGGGGCTGCTGGGTTTGGTCGGTGAGGTTTCAGTCCCTCCCCTCTTTCCAAATAAACAAAACAACTTTCTGCTGACCTATATATGCTAGGGGATGCCATCCCTTCACTACAAGGTCCGAGAATCCCTTTTACTTGATCAATAAACTCTTAGCAAGTATCTGTGTACAGGTGCTGAGGGGGACAGAAAAATCTAGGCATTACAGTCTTACCTGCCAGGCAACCTGCCTAACTGCCTCTCCTTGCTGGGTCTTTCTGCTCCTGGCTTTCAAGCCCTCTGTGCTTACCTGCAGCTGTCACTGGCTTACCTCGCCCTCAGTGGTCCCTCACAGGCCCGGGAGCATACACCTTACAAAAATCATCTGTAGCACCTGTAATCCCAGCACTCTGAGGGGCAGAGGCAGATGGATCTGTGAGTTCAAGGCCAGCCTGGACTACTAAGTGAGTCCAGGACAGCCAGGGCTACACTGAGAAACCCTGTCTCAACAAATCAATCAACCAAACTAATCTGTAACTGTGACTCTCAGTTTGAGAAACTGCCTACCTGACCAGAAGACTACGATGCACTCAAGACATGGCCCAAAAACCTATACCTGCCCCTCCTTTCTGTGTTGTATTCTCCCAGTTACTAATGACAGGCTTTCCATGCCCGCATGTAAGCAGCCATTCTGCCAGAATTCCTCTCCATAATATACTTGCTACCTTGCTACTCTTTCAAGGCTAGCCTAACATTTGCTCTTCTAAAGGATGTACTCCACCCAAGACTTGTCTAAGCAGGCTTGGGAACTCCTGCCAAGCCCAGGGACCTCACACACTTCCTCAGGCTGTCTCACCAGACAGTTCAGCCTTGCAAGCCATACCTTCTCTGTGATCGAAGCAGCCACGGGCAGTCCTACCTGCTGGATGTGGCTATGTCCCATTAAACTCTATTGACCGAAAAAGGTAGCAGGTAGATTGTTGTCAACTCTTGCTGCAGAGTACCCATCAGACTTTGTACCCTGGACATATGACAGCGCTGGGTTTATCTGCAACCTTCACACGTACTCCCAATTTACGAACCTACTGGCATCCTGTATGCTCTTGCTTCTTCACCTGCTTACTGGGGCAGTATCTACACTTCACAGGTTTCCTGTGAAGAATAAATGGGTCATGTACCAAGTGAGGACGAGGTGTGTAGAGCTGGCAGTGACTTGCTTCTGAATTCAAGAGCGGTGCACATGGTTCAAATCTGTGCCCAAGGAAACCATCTTATCACACGCCATTGCCTGTCACAGTGCATCAGAACACGGTCTCTGAAAATCACAGCACAAAGCAGTGTGTAGAGATGGCAATGGCCTTGGGAGCTCACTGAGGCAGATGTCGTATAGCAGGGGCAGCCATACAAGAGTTCATGGGGGAGGTAAGAGTTAAGAGAGGCAACTGGGTCTGTGGCCCCAGCTGCTATGTCAGTATCCTGTAGCTTAAGACCCTGAAAACCCATGTTCGCTCCTTTCAGTTGTGTGATATCAGGTGAGCTAGTAACTTTTCTGAGCCTCCCTCATCTATAGACTAGTGCTACCACCACCTCACGGAGTGAGCACTGGAGATTCCGTAAGATAACATACGGAAGTGCTTGAGGCCAGTACACACTTAAGTTTCCCTCCCCTTCGAAGCACCAATGGAATTCTGACAGGCAACAATGGGGGAATGACAGTCCACTGTGGGAATGAGAGGAAGTGAATATACAGCAGAGAAACAAACAGTTCACAGAGAGCAAGCAAACCAATGCCTGGAGGGTGAGTCCACACAGGCCCCAGAGGTGAGCTAAACTCAAAATCTGGGTTGGGAGTCACAGTGGAAAATCAAATGAATAGAATTAACTTATTCTAGCCCCACAGCAGCTATGGAAACAGGGAAGATTAGTAAATCATGACTGGATTTGCTGAGTACTGAGTACTCACTGGTCAGGTATAATGAGGCCCAACTACACAAATTTCACAGTAAGACTAAGTCATTAGACACTGACATGGACAGGCAGAAGGCTCAGAAACCTTTCCTTATGCATGCCCTAGGGCAGTGCCAGGCAGCCTACAGTGGGCTTGGGAACTGGCAGGGACTGCCATATTGTCATTCCCTGTTCCAGTCTCATTCTAGCAGTCTGAGCAAGCCTTTGTGGAGAGTAACTCAGCTGAAGTACACTTCATTCACGGAAGTAAAACCAGGCCCAACCAGGATGGCCAACCAGCCCCAAAACTGCTACAAAGAAGGTCTTCATACTTGGGATTCTTCTCCCCTGTGTGGGGTTGGTTGAGAGCTCTGGGCTTGGACGGTGATGCGGACATGGCCTCCGGGGAGGAGTTGAGGCCTGGGCTGGGCTCAGTATTCTGGCTGTCCTCCTCCAAAACCAATCTGCTTATTGTCATGCGATTGTTCTTGGGCTGTAGTTCTGAGCCTCCCTCACCCTCAGCAGGAGCTGAGCTTTCATTTTCATCTTTCCTGGGTCTCTTGTTTTTGTGGGTTGGTGATGATGGGGATGCTAGATTAGAAAGTACCAGATCTTTCTGGTCCAGTTTTGCAAAAGCTGCCTCTGAGTCTTGTGCTGTAGACAGAGCTTTGAAAGCTGCCTTCAGAGTCCTGATTCCGATGGTGGTTGGAGTGTTCCGAGGCTGTCTGCAAATAAAGCACACACAGGAGAGTCAGTCTCCCCAGTGTGGAAGCATGGCCAAGTAGGCAGGACTTCTGCAAAGTATGCGGCCTCAAACAGAGGGCTCTTCAAACTCTCCATCAAAATAAAACAAACAAAAACAAAAAATGGGTAAGAGACGGGCTGCTTTCCGTAAAGAGCTGTTGCTTACAAAAGCCTTCTTAAATGAGCACAAATCTAAGTTGTAGCAAGTTTAAATTCTAAACAAGGGAACCTTATAGAAACCAAGGTCAATGCTATTCACCCTTTTAGTCTGTATGATCAAAGCAATGTTTTCCATCGTGTTACAACTCTGAGTAGTTCCTGCCATCCTCACATCTGCCTGGACGGCCAGCTAATAACGCTATAGTCTCACTGTGAAATCTCTATTCTTTCAGCCATCCTACTCCAACCCTCATTTGAGAAGCAACTTAAGTGTTCTATACCCACCATACACTTAGGAACAGTCTTGAGAATTCTGAGGGAGCGGTGTGCCAAGTGGTCTGGGAGTAATGAGATTGAGTTTGGTTTTAAGACAGAAGGTTTCTCTGTGTAGCTGTGGTTGTCCTGGACTTGCTTTGTAGATCAGGCTAGCCTTGAACTCACAGAGATCTGCCTGCATCTGCCTCCCCAAGGACTCAGATTAAAGGTGTGTACCACCATGCCTGGGTTGAGACTGAATTTTAGAAAAATTTTATAGATCTTTTACAGTAAAAGTCTGTCAGGAAAGGGCAAACCAGCAGCCTGAAGGCCAGTCTCCCTGACAAGCACTGTTTGCCATACGCAGAGTTGCTTTCTAAAATCAACATTCAAAAGTTGAGAATCTAGCTCAGTGGTTAAGAACGCTTGCTGCCTGTGCAGAGAACCCAAACTCTACAGCACCTACCTCAGGTGGCTCATCATCAGCTGCGTATAATTCAAATCCCTCTCATGCATACAGTTAAAACAGAAAACAAATCTGCTTAAAACTGGAGAAATCTAACCACAAAAAGAACATCTTACATGCAAAATTCGAACTCATTTTGGAATGCTTAGACACTCTTCACAAAGTAGCAACTACCAAAATGAAAAAACCCTGCCTCTCCTTTCTAGTGTCCTGCTTTGGAATGTCTTTAGGAGCCATTTGGTGCTATGATTCAGATATGGTTTCAGTGAGTTACATGATGACATTTAACTCCTGCTTGAAGATAGGGCCCCCGTAAGCGACTAGGATTAGAAAAGGCCAACAGGACAGCGCCCCCAAGATTAATGACCAATGTGCTCAAGACTGGTTGAAAGATACAGAGAGAGAGAGAGAGACAGAGAGACAGAGAAAGGGAGGAAGGGAAGGAGGGAGAAGAAGACTTCTTCCCCTTCCCTCTTTCACCATCAATTGGCATGTCAGCAAGGCCACATATGGGTACTCAAATCTCTAGTACTGTGAGATACTTTTGTGTAAACTTTTGTGTTAAGTTACCAGACATGAGATCCCGACTTGTCTTCTCTCCTTCCTTCTCTTTGACACCTGCAACTAGTTCTTTTCATTTGTTTGTTTGTTTTTGAGACTGGGTCTCACTATATAGCCCAGGCTGGCTTCTAACTCAGAGCCTCTTGCTTCTGTCTTCCAAATGCTGGGATTAAAGCTATGTGCCACCAGAGGCAGGCAATCTCTGAGTTCAAGGCCAGTCTGATCTACAGAGTAAGTTGCAAGATAGCCAGGACTACAGAGAAACCCCGCCTCGAACCCCTCCTCCCACCAAAAAAAAAAAAAAAAAAAAAAAAAAGCCATGTACCACCATGACCAGCTCTGACTCATTTATCTGAACACTGTTTCCTGAGTGAATTAAAAACTAGCCATCCCCCCAGGTGTGGTGGTTCACACTGCAGTCCTAGCACATGGGAAGCTGAAGGAGTACTGCTGGGTTCTTAGCCAGCCTAGGCTACAACGTGAGACCCTGTCTCCATAAAATGAAAGGAGTGCTGAGTTACAGGTGAGACAGAGAAATAAAACCAGAACTTTGGGGAAGTGTTAATCAGGACCTTCTCTCATAGACCCCGACAGCTAATCTCATTTTCCTAGGCCCCACTCTCTGCCTCTCAGAGTGTGGTATGCCAATAACCTGATAAGTTACTCAGCAAGTCCATTCTCCAAGAGAAACTGATCTTGCTAAATGTTTCCCCCACAATCACAAAGGACATCCTCACCTTGGAGGCTCTCTAAGTGGTTTTTCCACATGCTCTGGGACTGGGTGCTTTTCTTCCTTTGCTGTACTTGAAGCAGCAGATTCAGATTTCAAGTTCTTTTTGGCCATCTGGGAAAAGAAGGGTGTTTTCAGGAAGAGGAAGCCACAGGTGTTTATCTAGTGTTTGCTTCTTTCATCAAGAACATATTTAACATGTAAGCAACGCATTTACAAATCCAGTCCAGGCACTGGCTGGCGGGCACAGCATGATGGGGTAACCCTCAAACTCCCCTTCCTTATCTTGAAACAGAACAACAGAACCATCACAGCAACACCTCCACAGGTGACTAGTTAGATTAGGAGAACTTTCTTGCACTGTACCTTTGTCCTTCCAACCTCAGACCTAATCCAGCTTCTAGTTCCCAAGTCTCTTTTGGAGTTAAATATAAAAGTTAAAACTTCTTCCCCTACTTCTCTTTAAAAAAAATTTTTTTTTTAAATTTTCACATGTATGTGCTTGCGCTTGCCTAAGTACATATGTACCACATTTCCACAGGGGCCAGAAGAGGGCATGATATTCCTTGGAAATGGAGTTACAGGTGGCTGTGAGCCATCTGGTAGGCACTGGGAATCTTGAGCTCTGCAAGAGCTCTTAACCTCAGGGCTCTCCTTTTCTTTTTTGAGACAGAGTTTTGTATGGCCCCAAACTGGACAGATAGACCTGGCTAGCCTTGGACTTGCTATGATTTTCCAGGTGCTGGCATAGGGGTGTGCCATAATACCAGGCTCAAACATTTTTTTCAAAATTTAGGCCACCTGACAATGAGAATGATTTTTAGTTTGTGTCTATATTAACTCTATCCCCACAAATGTTTTGTCTTTCTTACTGACTATTTGAAAATCATTAGCAATACTACACAGGAAGCCCTTGGCAAGCCATTCTTACCCTAACTCTATTCAGCCATCTCCTTCCTGCTTTAAGTTCAGATACAACTGTGACATGGTGACTTAAGAGATGAGATCTATCCTTATGTAAGGAGCAGAAGAGTTTCCAGTTACCCAAAATGCAAAGGAATGAAACACACTTAGACCAAAGGGTCAACATCCAGGTACTTCCTGGCTACCTATCCTAAATACCTGCTTTACAAGTGATCTGAGGGGGTTAGAGAGATGGCTCAGAGGTTAAGAGCACTGTCTACTCTTCCAGAGGTCCTGAGTTCATTTCCAAGCAACCACATGGCTCGCAACCATCTATACAGGGATCTGATGCCCTCTTCTGGCAGGCAGGTGTACGTTCATCTACATAAAACAAGCAAACAAATCTTAAAAAAAAAAGGGACCTAAGATTTGTCGAGCAGCTGACAGGATCATCAACACCACCCTAACATTCAGCAGATCCACCATTACAACAGGCTATTTTAACATTATCAAAATCTTGGGTCCCCTACTCCTTTCTCTTTTTTTGTGGTGTTAAGAGCCTTTTACATAATAGGCCAAGTGTTTTAATATTAAGCTACATCTCTAGCCATGAGGTTCTTGAGATAGGGGCTTACATATAGCCCAGGCTAGCCCCAAAACTCATAATCCTTCTGCCTTACTGTACAGAGCAATGGTATGTATCACCATGCAATCTGAGTCCAACTAAAGATTATCTTCATTAGACCAGTGCAGCACAGTGGCCCACACCTTTAACCCCAACACTCAGGAGACAGAGACAGATGGTAAGTTTACAGTTTTCCAGGCTAGCCAGGGATACACAGTGAGAACCTATCTCAAAAGGGACGGAGGTAAGGCAAGAGAATAGCTCAGCAGTTAAGAGCACTGGATGCTCTTGTAGAGAACCCAAATTTGATTCTCAGCACCCACATGGTGGCTCACAACAGTCATTAACTCCAGCAGTCCCGGGGGATCTGACGGCTTCCGGCCTTCACAAACACCACACATTAGTAGTGCACAGGCATCTGTGCAGGCAAAACACAGGTACACCAAATTAAAAAAAGAAAAGAAAAAAGTCACCTGTTTCTGGCTCCTCTCGAAGATAGCATACTTCTAGTCTTTCCTTCTCTCATTACCAACCCCCACCATTCCACATATAACAGCCCAGACTTCATTGCCTGTGGCAACACTGTGGACTATAGGAGAACGCGCTACTTTAATTGCAAGATTGGTCACACGTGAAAGAATGTAAAACGCAGGTGAGAAACACCAGGTATATTCTGTCTGCCAAAGGCAGAAGCTTACCGTGAGCATCTAACAGGCATTCAGAAAGGTAGAGTGTATAATCTAGTCTCTGTCACACAATTCTTTTCACTTCTAAATTTCTATTACCCACTCCTGCTCAAAGACACAAACATGGTCATGGGAATGAAAGAGAGGCAGAGAGGCACACCGTGAGGAGGTAGGGCTCCGTGTCATCCAGGTGGCTTTCCAGGAAGCGCAGCATCTTCTGCTGGAAGGTCTCATAGGAAAAGTTCTGGATAACAGGGTGGGCCAAGTTCTTTTCCCGGATAATGTTCAGGAGATCAGTTCGTAGCTTCTACAGAAAAGATTGACGTTCAAAACAGGAGAAAGGAGAACAGTAAACATCAGGGCTGAGCTGCAAAAGAATACCACCACAACATCTGCAACGCTGCCAGACAACTCAAAGCGCTGCTTCATCAGCCACAATGGGTTACTCTGCAGCTCGTCACAAACAAGGGACAAAGCAGCTCTATTACGTGTTAATACAAGATCCCTTGCTAGTGTTAAGAGAAGTGTTCAAATATCAGTGTGTAGATCTGTCTGCATCCTGTATGCAGATGGAATGCAAAAAGGGTTCATATGTGCACAACCAAAAGACTTGCTTGTAGATGGCACCTCTGAAAGAATAAGTAACAGTGGCTGCCTCTGAGAGCAGCAGCGTAGGTGAAGGCTAAAGACAAGGGCATTTTCATTCAACTTGTTTGTTAATCCTGGCTTTCTCACACCTTAAGCTCTATTCTTATATTTTTACGTGTGTGTGCGCGCGCACATGTGTGCATTTGTGTACGTGTGTGCGTGTGCCTGTGTGTCTACCTTTGTGTAATAGCACAAACGTAGAGGTTTGAGGACAAGCAGGTATTGAGTCTTGGGGATGGAACTCAGGTTCCTAGGCTTGTGGTCAAGAACCTTTATGATTTCACAGGCCCTTATGCTACCTTTTGAATTTTGTACTATATACATGTTAGCTCTTCAAAAATCAAGGGGATTTTGCCAGGTGTGGCGGTACGTAACTAAAACTAGAGAGGCACGGGCAGCAAATGGATGTTAGTTTGAGAGCACCTCAATCTACACAGTTCAATAATAGATACGTAAGAGAAGCCCTGCCTTAAAACAGCAAAAAGGCATAGACTGTGGGCTTGTTTGGTGCCAGGGTTCACATCCAGCATGTTAGGCAAATGCCCCACCTTAAGCAACATTCCCCAGCCTAAAATTTAAGTTTATAAAATAATACAAGTTGGGGGAAGGGAACCCAACTGAGGATGTAGCTCAAAATGACTCCCACACTTCTGACAGGAAGTAGAGATGTTAAGTCCTTCCCAAAGAGCTTTCCAGTCTCCAGGGCTAACATTCATAGAGACAGGGCTAGAATCTCATATTTTCTGTGGAATATCTGGTACCAATTACTTAAATGTTCTATCACAAAGCCGACAGAACAAGTGGTTTGTGAAATCTAAGACTTGAAAAGCCAGTGTCAGAGTCACCTTAAGTATGAAAAGCAAGGTGTGAGACATGTTTCAAGACAGTCCCACTGTGTAGCCTCGGCTAGCCCTGAACTCGCTTTAGCCCAAGGCAATCCCCAAACTTGTAATTGTTGCCTCAGCTCTCAGAGGCTGGGATCACAGACAAGATGTTGGGCATTTAAAGGTGAATACATACATACATATGAGAGAAAGAGAGAAAATCTCACTCTGTGGTTCTGCTGGCCTGGAACACACTATGAAAAACAGGCTGGCTTTGAAAAGATCTGCCGGCATCACCTCCCCGAGGGCTTGAGGTAATGGTGTGTCCTACCACACCTGGGATAGATGACATCCTTAACAAAGAACCCACCTTTACTACGCCACAAAAGGCAGTGAGATGTTAAGTCACAGGAATAAAAATGTATCATATATACCTGAGTTGTGGGGTCCTTGGACATGTATTTTTTCAAAATTTTTGAAGCCTTTTCAAATTCTTTGTTTTTGATGCAAATAATGACAGCCTATAAAAGGAAGTAAAAGTTTTGTAATAACAGATGTCATTAAAATATCAAATATCGAAACATACTCTAAAAAGCTAAATCTTAAAGCTACGTACAACTGTTTTCACACTGTATCAAATTCCTGTACTTAAAAAGCTAACGTTACTGTCAAGCGCTTTGAGCAACCATAGGTGTAGTTTTTTGTTGTTGTTAATGCCTGAGAAAGCAAAATTGGATCCCCTGGATTAAAGACTCTTAGCCAGTCTGAGCTGGACTGCCTAAGGAAAGACAAAACAGACAGGAGTTATTAGAGCCCCAAACTTTCAGGTCTACAGAACAACTGATTGCAATCTTTTTTGGGTAAAAGAGCTTTGAAGCAGGGGTGATGCTCGGCAAGAGAACATATAACGTGGGGCCAGAACAAACAAGAGATGTGCTGGCCACAGCGTTCTGCTAGTTCTATTCGGGGAGGGGCTGAGGCCAAGTCTGCAGAATGAGAAAAAAGCATTATATCACAAACACCAGCTAGCCATTCTAGCTAGAGTGTACAGGGAATCACTGAGATTGGCAACTAGTCTCACCCACAACAGCAAATAAAAACGACCAAGAGCCAGGCAGGACCTCAGCCACAGAGGGAAAGAGGTTTCTGTAAAGAAGCTCTAGAGAATCTCCTCAGCGAAAGGTGACAGCGGCTGGACAACTGAGACTTCTAGCACAGCACTAAGCACAGTCCCCAGGGTACAGAAAACTGGCATCAAACGCTCCCGAACAAGGATGCATGACTGTAAATTCTTAGAAGATGCAAAGCCAATCATCTTTTCAGATGACCATGCTTACTTATTCATTTTCAGCAGAAATATTACTCTTACTTTCTTAACACAGCTTTTATAAAACGCATGACTGTAAATTCTTAGAAGATGCAAAGCCAATCATCTTTTCAGATGACCATGCTTACTTATTCATTTTCAGCAGAAATATTACTCTTACTTTCTTAACACAGCTTTTATAAAACACATTATATAACAGTTTTGTTTTGTTTATAAAACATCAATTCTATTAGATTCAACTGCATTTAACTTGCACACAGAGAAACTATTCAGGGCATATGGCACGAAATGCTAACACACCCAGAACTTCTGGATCCAGGAGAATACAAACCAATATCTCCCCCCACTCCTACTTTCTAAACTCTTATTTTTGCTACTTTGTCTTTGCTTTTTTCAGACAGAGTACCATCACCTAAGTCTCAGTCCTCCTGCCTCAGCCTCCCAAGAACTGATATCACTCACTACTAGGCTGAACTCCAGCATCAGCTGTATTAAGGCTGCTTTTTCACTCTGCACAATGTCCATCTGTGTTGCCGCACGGTCAGAGTTCTGTTTTCTTGCTGTTGAGCACTATTATATTGTTTGGGATATATTATAGTTTATCCATTTATCCACCCAAGAACATGTGGGTGGGTCACAGTTTTTGATCATTATGAACAGAGATGCTAAAACAGGTTTTGTGTGAATGATTCTTCAACTCTGAGGTAAATATGCAGGAGTGGAATTCTTGGGAGTATATAATGTTTAACAGGGTGAGCAGTAGCCAAACTGTTATGGCACAGCGTAGGTGTACTACTTAGCATTTCTCTCTCTCTCTTTTTGAAAAGATTTTATGTCTACAGAGTTCTGCCTGCTTGTACACCTGCTTGGCAGAAGAGGGCACCAGATCTCATTATAGATGGTTGTGAGCTACCACGTGGTTGTTGGGAATTGAACTCAAGCCCTTTGGAGAAGCAGTCAGTGTTCTTAACCTCTGAGCCATCTCTCCAACCCCCTACTTTATTTTTTTAAAGATGTTCTTATTTATTTATCTATTTGTTTATTTGTTGATGTATGTTTTCCTACATATACATATGTGCTCCATGCGTATACCTGGTGCTTGTGGAGACCAGAAAAAGGTGTTGAATCATCTAAGACTGGACCTACACCTATCTTCTAACCCTAGTGATTTACTAACATTTTAAACAGTAAAACTCTATTCTCTTGTTTTTGTTTCTTTTTGAGATAGGATATTATGGTGGCTCACAATATGTGTAACTCCAGTTCTAGGGGATCTGACACCCTCACGCAGACAGATGTGGAGGCAAAATACCAATGCACATAAAGGAACAACAACAAAAACAAACTAAAAAGAACCTAAAATTAAATACTTTACCAAACCCCCAAGCAAGCATTAACCAGGCATAGTAGTACATGTCTTGAATCACAGCAGGTGGATCCGAGTTCAAAGCCTAAGTCCCAGGCTGGAGCTACATGGTTTCAAACAAACAAAACAAACCCAACCAATTAAAGCACTTCAGCCCACTGTGATAGTTCATACCTGTAATCTTAGAACTTGGGCTATAGACACTGTTGTCTCAGGGAAAAGAAGGTACCTAGGTTTAGACATACACACATACATATGTAAGTCCCTTGTCAGATATGACTTGCAACTATTCTCTTCCAGTTCTGTGAATGTTCTTGAACATGAACTTTCAGTTCTATGAATGTTTCCCTCAGAACAAAAGTTTTAAATTTTGAAGCCCCATGTATCAATTTTTCCTCTTGAGGACTTTTAAAACAGCTTAAGTTATTTTTATTCATGTATATGAGTATTTTGCTTATTTGTAAGTAGATACAGATAGTTGTGAATAACCACATGGGCACTAAATCAAACCAGGGTCCTCTGCAAGAACAAGTGCTTTTGACTAAACCATCCCTCAGCATCCCCCAATTTCTTTTTGTCCAGGTAAGAGTCCCTTATAACCCAGGCTGTCCTTGAACTCTTAACCTTCCTGCCTCCACTCCTACATGCTGGGATGCTGGACGTGAATACTAAACTGAACTTCAAGCACTAGCTAATATGGTTTTTTAATATTTTCTCCAAGAAGATTCATGGTTTTAAGTTGTGTGTGGTAATACTTTAATCTCAGCACTTGGGAGGCGGGCATTTGAGGCCAACCCACAATAGGATGTCCAGGACAGCCAGGGTTTCAGTGATCCTGTCTCAAAAAAGCAAAAACACCACCAACAGAAAGTTCCATGGATTTATTTAGAATTTGTGATCTATTCTGAATTATTTTTTGGTATGAAATGTTTAAGGTAATGCTTCATTTTTTAATACCGACATTCCACTGGTTCAACAGAAATTGCTGAAGACTGTCCTTTTTCATTTAATATATTTAGTGATTGAACGGCCATATTGTCAAAAACCTATCGGTCATGTATGTGTGGTAAGGGCTCTACACACACGAGGCAACCATTCTAGCACTCCCTCACTACCCCCAGCTCCAGTGTCTCTGCTGCTCCACTCATCTCTGTCTGTTTTTATCTTTTGTTCTGGTTACTTCAGTTCATTTGCCTTTTCTTGTATGTAAAATCAGTGGCTGAGAATGTAATATGAGCTAAAATAGCTACAAAGAACAAACATCTTAGGGACACTAAACCTTCCAACAGCCAGATGTGGTGTTTCTGGCCTTTAATCCCAGCAGGCAGATCTCTGTGAGTTCCAGGCCAGCCTGGTCTACACAGTGAGTTCCTGGACAGCCAGAAACAGCTATATAGGGAGACCCTGTCTCTGTCTCCCTTATAGACACACACACAAAACTCATGGGCATGGTATGATTTTAAAGGTTTTCATTCTTTCATCCTGGTTTTGGTGCCTGAGCTTTGCCAGTATCACTGCTTGGCATAGCTGCCACCAGGCCAGTAATGCCTAGGGGCCAGAACAGGAGAGAAAGGAAAATAAAAATTGGATTTTTCTCCCATCATCTTCAACTCATGGGAAAGCTCCCAAGGCCAGAGAGAGGTCTTTGGAAGCTCCTTCTGTTTGCACCTGCAGTATATGCCCAGGTGTTCATGCTGCCTTTACTGGAATCCATTCTAGATAGCACAGCAGAAAGACTCCATAGCAGCCTGGCAGAACTTCAAATTCTGGTCTTCTTCACCTGCCTCACCAGTCACATATCTGAACCTTCAATAGCTGTTCTGCACTGTGCATCAACAGGGAGAAAGTCTCCGTGCTCTACATGCCCAGAACAAGAACACAGGCCACCTATGTTTAACTTCTCAGACTGGGCAGGAAATAGGAACACTGAATTTCAAATATGAAATTAAAAGCCTGTCACTAAGTTTATACTGAGAGCCTGACTTTATATGTTAATTTCCTGGAGTTGTCAGAAACAAGTATAATTCCTTCTCTCTTGTATTTATTAAGGTTCTTAGATTGTAAGCCCTATGAATAGTCTCTGGTTAATATGGCATTACAAGCAGACTTTAAAACAGGTAAGCACCTATTCTGAACAGAGGGAGGCCTAAAAATGACAGAAATAAAAACATAAAGCAGCAGAAAAAAATAGCAGCTGGGAGTGGTGGCACACATCTTTGATCCCAGCACTGGGAGACGGGCAGGCAGATCTTGATTTCAAGGCCAGCCTGGTCTACAGAAGATTTTCTCTTTCCTGCCTTCCTCCCCCCCCCCCCCCCCATTTTCTTTCTTTTTTAAAGACAGAGTCTCTGGCATTCACTATGCAGACTAGGCTGGCCTACATCTCTGGTCAATCCTTCCGCCTCAGGGATTAGAGGTCTGTGTGGCTTCATAGAAAGAATGTTTAAACAGCCTTTCAAAAAACAGTTGTTGTTATTCTTTGACTTCAAACTTTTTCTTGGGTGTTGGCACTTGTACATGGCAGCTAAGTGACCTGCTATGGAACTATACCACTGGCCCCTGATTTCAAACACCCTTTCCTTATTTAGTGTGTATGTGTGTATAAACGTATATGTGTGTCTGTGTCATGGTGCTCATGTGAAGGCCAGAGGACAACATGTCCTAGTTTTCCTCTCCTTCCACCATGCACTGCTAGAGCTGGGGTATCAAGCTCCGGCTGTCAGCTTGGCAGCAAGTGTCCTTACCCGCTGAACCACCTCTCTCTCTTTAAAGAAAGGGTGTCATTAAATTTACCTTGCTGAGCTGGGCATGGTGGTGCACACCTTCAATCCCAGCACTTAGGGAGGCAGAGGCAGGCAATCGCTATAAGTTTGAGGCCAGCCTGGTCTACAGAGTGGGTTCCAGGACTGCCAGGACTACACAGAGAAACCTTGTCTCATGCCACAACCCCCAAAAAATATTTTATGTGGATATTTTGCCTGCAGAATGTCTGTGCACCTAAGAGAGTATCAGATCCCCTGGGACAGGGGTGACAGCAGACTGTAGGGCAATCATGTGGATATTAGGACTAGAACTAGGGTTCTCTGGAAGAAAAGCCAGTGCTCTTAACTACTGAACCATTTTTCCGGCCCAACAAACAAACTGAACAATCTCTTTTCCCTCAGACACAGTTTCACCACGGAGAGGAGGCTGGCACCTGCCACATTAGTGCTGGGATTGAATATATGCACTACCATGCCTGGCTCAGATTTTCTCAGCCACATTAATATCCACTGGTCTTGGCAATCAAGATGGCTCCATGGGTAAAGAAGTTTGCTGTACAAACCTGAAGATCTCAATCCACTCCCCACACCCCATGTAAAGGTGGAAGGAGAGAAAGACTTCACAAAGTTGTCCTCTGATCACCCTACAAACCCTGCACATGCGCACACACAGACATACTAACAAAAACTTTTCAAAAGACACTGGTCATTTTTAGGCATTGCACCTGGCATGAGGACAATTCACCAAAGCCCTAGCCACTCCACTCATCACTGCTGTGGGGCTCATTGCAAGCCAATACGCTGACACAGTCTCGACAGCGCCTTGGCATTGTTATGAAACATGTTCTCTGAAATCTCTTAACATGAATTGAGACGTTCTAACTTAATGTACTTGTTCAATTCTTCCTTTCTGAATTACCTACAATCTTTCTTCCATTGTACTCGTGGCAGAATCACTCAATCAAACCCAGAGCTCTCAGAGACTGTTGGTCTCCTCTCCCCATTCTGAGGCCACCATGCCCTCCCAGCATTCACACTGGGAATCTGAGCTTCCGTTTCACACTTGAATAACAAACACGCAACTGCTGAACCATTGCACAGACCCTCTTAAAATTTTTTAAATTATTTGTTTATTCTTAGAGCACAGACTGGTGTTTTGCCTGCATGCATGTCTGTGTGAGGATGTCAGATCCCCTGGAATTGGAACTATGGACAGTTGTAAGCAGCATGCAGGTGCTGGGAACTGAACCTCTGGAAGCGCGCCCAGTGCTCTTAATTGCTGAGCCATCTCTCTGGCCCTCCCAGACCCGACTTTAATACTTTTTGTTTGATTGTTTTTCAAGACAGGGTCTCCCATGTAGCCCTGGCCATCCTGGAACTAGCTCTACTATAGGCCAGGCCAACCTCACACTCAGAAACCCGCCATCTTCTGCCTCCGAAGCTGGGACAAAAGGTGTGCGCCATCTTCTCCCAACATATTTTAAAATAAATTTTTGTGCTGAGTGTGACAGTGAATGCCTTTAATCCTTGTGAGGCTCAGAAGCGAAAGGTGGATCTCTTAGTTCCAGACCAGGCTGCTCTAAATAGCAAGTTCTAGATCAGCCAAGGCTATATAGCGAGACCCTGTCTCAAAATATGAATTATTGTAATAATTTACAAAGCTTAAATGAACCTAGGCACCCCATAGAATCTGCTAAGATGACTGTAGACACTAAATAAGAAATTCGGAAAGTGTCATTTCATGGCAAGGGGATCAAAGCAGCTGTGACCCAGGCTCTCCAGTAGTCCTCTGTGACTGTTCCATGTGTACAAGACCCCATGACTGGCCTACAGTGTGACACATGCGTACAAGACCCCACAACTGGCCTACAGTGACACATGCGTACAAGACCCCACGACTGGCCTACAGTGTGACACATGCGTACAAGACCCCACGACTGGCCTACAGTAACACATGCGTATAAGACCCCACGGCTGGCCTACAGTGAAAGACTCCACGGCTGGCCTACAGTGACACAGTCCCACCTGAGTCCTGCTAGTAGGCACATCAGAGTGTGGATCAGATCTTTCAGACTCGAGACAGGTTTTCTCACCAGCTGAGTCTCAGCCCCCTGGGTACTGGGATTTCAAAAAAACATCAACATTCCCAGCACCAGCTGAGTCTCAAAATGCCCGCAACTGTGTTTATTTCTGCAGTTCTGAAGTTTGAATCCAGGGCCTCTCACATGCTGGGCACAGAGACTACCACTAATGCACAGCACCAGGAACTCTAGCTGACAGCTTGACTACAACCTTCTTTAAGGAATCCCAGGCAAGAACCACTCAGGCAGGCTGCTAGCTTCCTGACCTTTGGCAGCTGAAAGCTAACAGTCCCTGTTTTAAGCTGCTAAGTCTTAAAGTAACTTACTATCTTGAAATGACAAACACAGTAAGGGCTAGGAACGCAGCTCAGTAGTAGAGTTTGCCTAGCATGTGAGGCCCTGTGTTCAATAATTTTATTTTCTGAAAGGGTAGTATGTGCACATAATATAAAATTCAAAAGGCATAACAAGAGAAAATTCCTTTATCTTTGAACTCTGCCTAGCACCATTAAAACAAACAAATAAACCTGGTCTACAGGAGAAAAGAAAAAAAAAAAAAAAGTCAGCCAGGCATGGTAGTTAGCACCCCTGTAATCTCAGTCCTCTGGAAACAAAGGCAAGAGGTATGTAACAGCAAGTTCCAGGTCACCCAGGAATACACAGTGAGACTGTCTCCCCTTCCTCCCTGTAAACCACCAACAATATAGTGTGTAGAAGACATAGCCTGGTAGGCCAAAAGCACACAAAGTCAACGGAAGAAAATGGCTAACTGTGCATGGGTGTTTTATCCGCATACATGTCTGGGCACTACATACGTGCCTGGTGCTCCAGAGGCCTTGGGACTAGAGTTACTGCTGTGAGACTCCATTTAGGTGGTGAGAAATGAACCTGGGTTCTTTGAAGGAGCAGCCAGAGCTCTTAACCAATGATCCATCACTCCTGACCCAGATGTTTAGTTTTTGCTGGCAGACATTACAAACCAAAGTTTAAAACATGAACTTAATAACTTAGCTGGTTGTGGTGTAAACCTGCAATCCCAGCACTCGGGAGGCTGGTGAGGCAAGCAGACTGAGATTGAGGACACTCTGTATATAGTAAGACGCTATTTCAAAACAATCCCCCCCAATCAGCAAAAGCAGGAAGAGAACCATGTGCTTATGTAATAAAATTATGTGCACATGCCTAAAGAGACTCCTCTACAAGACAGGCCAGATGACAAATCTATAGTCCTTGTTTCTAAAGGAGTTAGATAAATTACTCTGAACAGGTAACATTTCTTCCAGAGCTGTTCTCAGAGTATCCCTGGGTTTCTCCTCCATCGCTATGACTTTTCTGGCATTTCCCCCCAATACAACCCGACTTACCTATATTAAAAACCTACAGTGGGCTTATTCCTCCTTGAACAGAGTAATAATTATCCAAGCATTCTTTGTAAGAATAACCAGTAGTTCCTGCTCCAGGTCTGTACCCAAAACATACCGGATTTTTTTTAAATGTATATTTGTACCCTGTATACAGCCAATGTCTTTCTTGTGAAACAGGGTTTCCTCCCTCTACTCTCCTCCCCCTCTAAGACCTTGCCCTTTTCAGGAGCTCTCTTTTCTTCTGTTATCCTTACATTTCCTTCACCCAGGCAATTGAGAGCCATTTTCCACCCTTACCTATGCTTATGCCTCCAACCTCCAGCCTTGGTTACCGCAGAAGAAAAACCTACAGCCGCTGTTTTGTTTAAAGAGTTCTACTGAAGCCATCTGACAAAATGACAGCCTCCAATTTCTAGATACTCATTACCTCTGTTATTCTAGAATACTGTCTGTGCGATTCCTTTTTTCTAGTTGACTCTGATTCTACTCTGATCACAGGGAACATTCTTTTTTTTTGTTTTGTTTTTGACAGGGTTTCTCTGTGTAGCCTTGGCTATCCTGGACTCCCTTTCTAAACCAGGCTGGCCTCGAATTCAGGGTGATCCACCTGCCTCTGCTTCTACTCGTGGCTTGGGAATATTCTTTAAGTCCCTCTTTTAGCAGTCAAAGAGCTCAGTTCCAAACTTCCCAAGGTCCTAGCCATTCCTTCTGGCTTGTTATAGACAATGGTAACCAAACCCAGGACCAAAGATACTTGGGGACCTCTTCGCAGTGCTCCTGAATGGTACAGTAACGTTGAAAACAGCAGTCTTTGATGTCAACCCACTTCTCAGGCCACAAAGAAGACCAAAACCAGAGCAGAATACTCTCCAAGTGAGAAAGGGGACACTTAGGAAAAGATGACACATAACACGTTGCACGCGTACACTCCTGATCTCTCCCCACCCCTTTCCTCTACCCACACAGAAAAGATTCCACAATATGTCTTCAAATAGCCCTGATTTCGACTAGACAAAAAACTAACAAACAAAATATTAAACAGTGTCTTACAGCCTCCTTGACCAGTTTTCTACTGGATTCGACCACTGCTTCTGTCAGTGTAAATTCTGTTTTAATCATCTCCAGCACATTGATAGCTGATTCCAGGGGTGTGAGCTCTGCCTCCATATCAAAGGAACAGTCTAGGACAAAACACAGTTTCCACTTTAAGCTCTTTTCTATGGGAGGAGCAAACATGTCCAAAAAGTATATACATTTATCTATGGAAGCATGCAAACACCATTTAGACTCATGTGTATAAAAGGCCATGAACACCAGGCATTTAATCCCAGCGCTCAGGTAAGAGAGGCAGAGGTCAACCTGGTTTACACAGTAAGTTTGGACAGCAAGGGCTATGTAGAGAGAGCCTGTCTTAAGAGAAACACACACAAAAAACTATAAAAGGCCCATGCAAACCCAGTAAAACGTGCATTTATTCTGTTTATGGACTGTGATATGGTCCAAATTTAAACCAACCAAATTTCTTTCTTGTTTCTTTCCAAAGACAGCGTTTCTCCGTGTAGCCTCGGCAATCTAGTAACTTGCTCTGTAGAGCCGCCTGCTTCTGCAAGCACCACCACACCCAAATTCAAATCAACACATTTCAAGTGTCTATCTGTCAATACTTTTCGACACAGATGAATTATAACATACACACTGGCCTCTAAAATTCAGAGTAACACGTCTTCCTCAGAAACCCATGGTCAACACTGAAAACTGTTATGGGGTTGGGGGTGTTGACACTCTACTATGGGGAGGAAGAGGGCAAAGAATGTGTTCCTTATTGCCACAACTCACTTTCAGCAACAAAACAGCTGTGCAATTAACAGGTGGGAGAAAAACAAAAGAAAAGAAAACAAAAGCCACATAAAACCAGTCAAAGAACTTTAACTGGAGGAAACTAAAATTAAAAGAATTCAACCGCCGCCGAAGGGGGAAAAAAAAAAAAGACCTCCGTGGTAGAAACAGCAGTGAACTTTAACCCGGAATCTTTCAGCCCCGAACCTTAAGTTTGAAAATAACAAAACCCTACGTAAGTAATCCCAGAAAAGAACACAAAAAATAGCCGTACCTAAATTTTCCCCTTCTTCAATGCGCGACAAACACTGCATTACCCGCAGCAACCGGGACACCGTATGCTCCTTCCCCAAGGGCCTGACAAGCAACGCTGGGAAAACAGACATGGTTGACTCCGCGAGCCCCGGACCCCAAGCCATGCCCCCGCGGCCCTTCCTCCTCCCCGCGGTCCGCGCCGGCCCTCACCCTGCATGATGTCCCGGATCTGCCTGAAGTCCCGGTACCGGCTACTCCGAAAGGCCCGCAGCGCCTCGTGGAAGTAGAACTTGAGCACCCAGCGGTTGACCGCCTCCTCCAGCCGCGCTTCCCCCGCGCCCCGCTCCGCCGCGCCTCCCAGCCCCGGCTCGTGCCGCCCCCGTCGAGCCCGCCCGCCGCTGCGCGAAGCCCGCCGGCCCGCCGCCCGCCCGCCGCCGTCGCTGCTCCCGCCTCCTCCCGCCATCGTGTCCGACCGCCGCGCGCCCTCCCCGCCCTCCCGGCTGGGCCGTTTCCTTGGCTGTGACGCCATCGGGTCACGCACAACGCCCGGGCCGGAAGCAGGGCCCGCCGCGCCGGCTCCCGCAGCCATGATTCCGACGGGGTTCCAAGTCGCCCGCGGGCTTCTGGGAGGGAAAGGGCCTGGGTTGGGGGAGGGGCTGGCCCCTCGGCCTCCTCGGCCTCCGTAGTTCCCGTTGTGTGCAGTTCCCGTGCGTTGTGACTGGAGCGATACTTGATGGGGATTGAAGTCCGCACAGCTCGGGGGTGGGGGGGGGCGCGCTGCTTTGAAGCCACCGCCGCAGACGTGGGGAATATGAAAAATAAGCGCGTGCATGTTATTAGATGTTTTGCAAGTTGGGGAGAGCAGTGCAACTTTTTTTTTTTTTTTTGAGACACAGTCTCATCATATAGCCCTAGTTGGCCTGGAACGCAAGACAGACCAGACTGGCCTCTGCCTCGCAGTGCTGAGATTAAAGGATAGTGCCACAGTGGCCGGCCCTCCTTCCCCTTTTGAAAGCAAAGCAGAACAAAACCAAACCTTGGGTTTGTTCTGAGAAACAACTCAGGTCCTCCCCATTCTTCAACCGTACGGTCTCCCCAGCCCCCGGTAAAAATTTATTCTAAGACTAGTCAAGCAAAATTGCGCAGGCTAGCTTTGAACTCGCCTCAGAGATCGGCTGTAACAAAGCTTTGGAGCCACTCTCTGAAGCAGTTCTTGCTCCGTCAGTCGAAGCTGCCTGGTGATGCCAGACTGCTTGCTTTTCTTAGTAGGAGCAAAATTACCAGCCCCCACGTCCTGACAGTTCTGCTTGTTGTATAAACCTTGAGCAAGTTACTTCCCCATTTGTTTATTTATTCCCCTTTCTGTCAAGCGTACATAATAAGAGGTACCTCGTGGGAATTGTATTAAAATGAGTTGCATTACTATTTCTGGTTTCTGTAGCTCTGGTACAGCTTGTAAGAGTTCAACAGATACTTGTGCGTGTGTATTTTTAGATTCAAGGATAACTTTTAGACGTTGGGTCTCTCCTTCCATTATGTGGGTCCCAGGAATCGAACTCAGGTCATCAGGCTTGGTATCAAGCATCTTTATCCACTGAGCCGTTTTGTTGACCCTAACTAAGACAATATATGTATAAATTTTAGGAAGCCTCACTATCTTTTGGACCATCTAATGGCACTTAATGTTAGTTGTCCCTCCCTTAGCCATTTCTTCCATCCTTCTCCCCATTAAATCTCCCCACTCTAGTCTCCTCCCTCTCTTCATAACAGTGTGTTCTATTTCCCCTTCCTTGGGTCATTCCCCATGCACCCACCCCCGCCTCCAGTCCTCCATTGGGTACCTAATCTCTCTAGTTACCTGTACTGTGATACCCATAAGGAAGGCTTACAAGCTAACAACCACATTAAATATGTATTTAATATATAATAATAGTTCATATATTAATATATAATTATATGTTATATTATATTAATATATACTCTCGAGACTAGGCCTGCCTCTGCCTCTTGTGTGCTGGGATTAAAGACATGCACAACCAATGCCCAACAGATTTTTGTTCGTTTTCTTGATGTCTTTCTTTTTTTGTTCCTTAAATATTGTAGATACTAACCCTCTGTCAGGCATGTAATCAGTGCGATCTCTTCCCATTGTGTAGTCTGCTGCTTTGCCCCTGGGGCAGTGTCCTCTTCCATACAGAGGCTTTTAAGCTTCATGAGGTCCCGTTTATTACTTGCTAGTCTCACTGCCTATGCTATTGGTTAGATCCAGCACTCTTTTTCTTTTATTTTCTTTCTTTCTTTCTTTCTTTCTTTCTTTCTTTCTTTCTTTCTTTCTTTCCTTCCTTCCTTCCTTCCTTCCTTCCTTCTTTCTTTCTTTCTTTCTTTCTTTCTTTTTTGAGACAAGCTTTCTCTGTGTGACAGCCCTGGACGTCCTGGAACTCACTTTGTAAACCAGGGCTGGCCTTGAATTCTCAGACTTCTGCCTGCCTCTGCTGCCCAAGTGCTGGGAGTAAAGGTGTGCCCTGCCCAGCTAAGACCCAGCACTCCAGGGCAGGTGGATCTCTGTGTGTTTGAGGCCAGCCTGTTCCACACAGTGAGTTCCAGGTCAGTCAAAGCTACATAATGAGTCGCTGTCTAAAACAGGAGAGGAAAGGCTGGAGTCTGGGGTTGTAGCTCAAAGGTGGAATGCTTGTCTAGGATTCATGAGGCCTAAGTACTATCTCTAGCACTGCAGAAACAAAACTCCCCCTCCTTCCTTCCTTCTTTTCTTTTCTCTCCATACAACTAATATAAAGAGAGAGCACAAGTCTCAGCCAGATGTGGTGGCACACGCCTGTAACCCATCTTTTGGGTAGTATTTACAAGATTGAGGTGAGCCCAGGCTACCTTGTCAGATCTTGTCTCACAAACACGTGAAAACAAACTAAAATTCCTGTTAGTCCAGTGCTTGGAAGACAGAGACAGGAGGATTTGGAGTTCATGGTCAGCATGGACTACGTGAGACACTGTCTCAGAAGAAAGACAGAGGAGGGAGACAGGGAAGAAAGAAAGAAAGAGAGATAGAGAAAGAAAGAAAGAAAGAAAGAAAGAAAGAAAGAAAGAAAGAAAGGAAGAAAGGAAGGAAGGAAGAAAAAAGAGTGAAGGAAGGGAGGGAGGAAGAAAGAAAATTGAGCGAAAGAAGGGGAAAAGAAAACAAGAAAAACTCAAAAAATATAGGGTGTTATCTTGGTAGTAAGTGGTGTTGGGATGATATTTTTGTACATTGTATAATGATTGTCTTTGTATATTCAAATGCTGATTTCTGTACCAGCAGAGAGCTGAGTATAGACTTTGGTATTGTTAAGAATCACCTGTCTCAATGTTTTGTAAACACTCCTGTAGGTGTACTTTTAGAAAACTCTTTTATTTACATTTATTTTATCTTTTTCTCCCTACTCCACCTGAATCCCTTCCAACACCTCAACACCTGGCAGGAGAAAGGGTTAATGGGGGAGGGGTGCCATTCTCTTAGCTGCCTCCTGCTGGTTAGGGTCTTTGGGTTCCTTGGAGCCAGTCTAATCCTCATTTCAGGAGATCTCCAACTTCTTGTCTTACAAAAGCAACCAGGAGCAGCAAGGGGAAGCAGGAGCAGCCTTGTTCTTTTGCTCGGCCACACTCTCTGGGCTCTGGCATTTATTCTCTCTCCAGAGTTCTCAGATTCAAACTAACTGCAGCTGGCAAAGAGCTCCTCTCCTAGAGGCATGAGGCAGATTCTTTGCTGCTGTGGACCCTCTGAATCAGTCCCACATCCCACACTCAAGATCAAAACAAAAACATGTTTACATCCACAACACACTCCCTTCCTTCAACACCTTCTGATTGGCTTAATAAAGAGCTGAGTGGCCAATAGCGAAGCCAGGAGAAGGCTGGACTTCCAGGAGAGATAGGAACTCTGGGACAAAAATCAAGCATGGGAAGATTGGACCACTGGTCATGGAGGAAGAAAGAGGTGCTGGGCCTAGGAATGCTAACGAGCCACCTGGCAGAATGTAGGTTAATATAAACAGGACAATTTAAGTTAAGAGCTAGTTGGGGAACAGGCTGAAGCTAAGGCCACTCTTAAATAATTAATAAAAAAGTCTCCATGGCATTATTTAGGAGCTGGTAGTCCGAAGAAAGTCCGGTGACAGTTGTCACCCAATGGTTATAAAGTTGCTTGCCTAGCTAAAAAAAAAGGGGGGGGGGGAGTACACAGATTTTGTTTTGTTTTAGGCAATGTCTCACTACGTAGCCCTGGAACTTGCTCTATAAACCAGGTTGTCTTTGAACCCGCAGAGATCTTTCTGCCATTGCCTTCCACGTGCTGGATTAAAGGAGTGAGGCACCCCGCTCAGCTAAATCTGAAGTGCACGTCTTCGTGGGAATTCCCATTTTTCATTTATTCCTTTTAAACAGGTGTAATGGAAGACAGGCTGACCTCAAACCTCAGCGCCTCCCAGGCCTCCATCTCCCAAACGCTGATATTCCAGAACGCCTGGCACTGTTCTGGTTTCTGTTGACAGTCTCAGTGCCACAGGATTGAACCAAGGTACCCTACACGAATACGCGGACAACCATTAGGACGACTACTTTGCTTCGTGAGCTCCAGTGTTCTCCAGCAGGGGGCAGAGTGGTGTAGGGAAAAGGCCACTGTTGCCGGGTTACGAGCAGGCCAGGCCTGCTTTCCTGGCTTGGGTAAGAACTTAAGCTTTGGGAATCTAATTTTTCCTCCTGTACTTGAGAGTCAGGGAGGCAGAGGCAGGCGGGTCGAGCCTCGTCTACAAAGCGAGTCCAGAACAGCCAAGACTACACAGAGAAACCCTGTCTTGAACAAAACCAAAAAAAAAAAAAAAGCTTGTTTTTGGTTTTACCGAGGTCTATGTAATGTAAGGGCATGTGTGGATGTGTGTTTGTGCGTGTGCACAGTGTGTGTGTGGGCCTGACGTTGACATAGGTATGTTTCTTCTACTTTTATTTTTTTGTTTTGGAAACAGGGTCTCACTAGGTAGCCCTGGCTGGCCTGGAACTCTCGATGTAGACTAGGCAATATTCTAACCCACAGACATCTGCCTGTCTCTGCCTCTCAAGTGCTGAGATGAAAGGCTGGTGTCCCAGCTCCAGCATGGTTTGAAAAGTTAATAGCACCCATTGTCTGGGAAGGTGCTGTAGAGTAGGTGCTTTCAGTGCCAGTGATGATGGGAGTGTCAATCAATACAACCTTTAAGGAGAGAAATTCATGAAACAAAACAACAACAAAAGCCATAATGAACCATACGAATTCCATTTTTAGAAATTATTCCTGAAGGAAGAATCACAAATGAACACCACAATTTAAGGGTTTCCACCAGGGATTACTTATAATTTAGAAAAAAAAGAAACAAAAAACAACAAAAAAAAATTCTGATAATAGAGTTATTATGTAAATTATGGTGTGTATAATACTTAGGAATCTTATTCTGTGGTTTAAAAAAATGGCACCCCTGTCAAAATAACTAAATAAATAAGTAAGGTGCCCCACAATTATCTCATGTTCAAGATATAAAGGAAGGAAAAAGAATAGAACAACAGAAATATTTATTATATAAACTCTTTCTGGACCATGGGCTACCGGTGCATGCCTGTAATCCGAGCTGAGGCTGAAGCAGGAGGATCCCGAGTTCCTAGGCTAGGCTGGCTACAGCGCTTGTTCAGCCTGAGCCTGAGCAACTTAGGATGACATTCCGTTAAAATGAAGGAACAAACAAACACGAAAAATGGCGTGGGGACAGCAGGATGGTGTTTGTGGGCAGTTATGATGGCAGTGATTCAATCTGTGGGTCCCAGAAGGTAGCAGGAGAGAATCAACTTGAGCTCTGTCCTCTCCTCGGACTTCACACACACACACACACACACACACACACACACACACACACACACGGGCATTGGGAGTGGGAGAGAATGCCACATTCCTGTTATTCCAGCACTTGGACGGCATAATTGCCATAGTCTGCTCTATGTATCAAGTTTGGGGCCAAATAGGCACACACAGTGAAATTGCATCAAGAAGACCAAAGGAAAAAAAAGTGGGGCTGGAGAGATGGCTCTGCTGTTAGGAGTGTGTAACGCTCTTTCAGAGTGTTAGGCTCATTTTCTAGAACCCGGAATTCTACCTCCAGGGTGTTCAATAACTCTTCTTGCCTCCTCTGGCTTTGTGCACATGGTACACATTCACACATCCTCACAGACAGATAAATTAGTAAGTAAATAAAACTTCTTTTAAAAGCCAAATAAATAAATAAAACACAAAACACCAGGTGGTAGTACACACACTTCAAATCCCAGCACTTGGGAGGCAGAGGCACACAGATCTCTGTGTTTGAGGCCATGGATCCAGACCGTGGATCAGTGCTAAAAAGAATAGAACTCAGTTAGGTGTGATGGTGTATGCCTTGAATTCCAGCACTTGCAAGACCGAGGTAGGTAGATCTCTGTGAGTTTGAGGCCAGCCTGGTCTACGAGCGAATCCAGGGTAGCCAAGGCTCCACAGAGAGACCCTGTCTCAAAAAACACAAAAATTAAAAAAGATGTTTTAATAACAAGGAGCTTTTTCCGACAGTGGGACAAGTCAGTTCCTGGCAGCATGCCCTAGAACTTCAAAGAAGAAGATGGACATCAAAGAAAACCTCCATGTGGAGTTTGCATCAAATGTAGCAAAGGTAGACAGCAAGCAAAAAACTGTCCTTGCCTCCACTGCTGACAGCACGCTACCCACGCTGTGGACAAGCAGGACATAAAGGAAGTTGACTGACAAACTCTGTCAAGATAAGGTAGGCCAGCCCTTCATGATTCCAGCTTCACAGATGAGTCTGTCGGGTACTCCTTGTTACCAGACACGAAAAGGAATGTACAGTTTATGAAGGCTGAGAGACATAAAAGTCTTATGTTATAAAGGAGTTAAGAAAATGTTTTACAGTCTAAAAAGGTATTTTTAGGTTGGTAAATATAAGTTATAAATTATAGGAAAGAAGGATATAAAAGCTTAAGTAATGATAGGAAATAATTTAAGTACAAAACTTCGGACTCACTAAGGTAGATAACAAAGTACTTTCTCCAAGGTTGCCAAATACAGATGGACTGGACCTTGTAGGTATAGAGTTTATTGATGTTACAGAAAGAGCCTTTTATTGGCCTAAAAGGGGGAGATGTTGGGTTAATCTCTTGTCTACTGTGTAAAGGTTGCATTATTCAGATGCTGATTTCTGCACCAGCACAGAGCTGAGTACAGACCAAACTTCTGTATTATTCTTATGGATGCATCATATTTTATGAACACTCCTTTCAACACCCCTGATTGGTTTAATAAAGAGGTAAGGCAGGAGAGTAAAGGTGAGCAGAGATGGGAAACACTTCGGAAGAATCAGGTGGGGCGTTTGTCAGTCAGACACGGAAGAAAGAAACAGATGCCAGGACTGAGATCCTGAGAGGTAACAAGCCATAGGGCTGAGCACTCAGGGAGGCAGAGGCAGGCGGATCTCTGTGAATTCGGGGTAATGAGCCCTGTGGAAAAATGTAGATTAGTTAATTTAAGTTACAAGAGCTATTTGGGAACAAGCCTAAGCCAAGGCCAAGCTTTCATAATTAATAAAAAAGTCTCCATATCGTTACTTGGGCAGCTGGTGGGTCAAGACAGTCTGGCAATAATCGGCACCCAACGTTATAGCTGGGGGCCAGCCTGTGGCCCTACTCAGTAATGACATCTGGTTCCGTAGGACCGGAACCTCCATGTGCTCTAGCAGTTAATCAATGGAGTAGATTTTGGGTGGCTCAACTCAAAATGCTGGCTCTGGGCCCAGATGCAAGCCAAGTTGGTCAGCCCAGGCCTTTCAAGGGCCTTCCAGCACAGCAGAAACTTAAAAAGAAGGAGAAGGAGGAGGAAGAGGCAGCACATACCTTTGATCTCAGCACTCAGGAAGCAGAGGCAGGCAGATTTCTGTAAGTTTGAGGCCAGCCTGGTCTACAGAGAGAGTTCTAGAACAGCCAGGGCTACACAGAGAAACCCTGTCTCAAAGAACAAAACAAACAAACCAAACCATTAGAAGGAGCTCTAGAGAGACATCTCAGCCACTGGGAAACGGGTTCCTTTCCGTGAGGGCCCACATGATAACATGGTCCTCATCAGCAACCCCAGTTCCAGGGATCTGACAGCCCCTGTGTGCTTGGTGCAGACATACAGGTAGGCAGCACATGCAGAGACACACAAATAAAAAATTTAAAGACTGGGAATGTAGCTCAGGTGAGAGAGTCCTTGCACAGCACGCATGAGTTCTAGGCCTGGAGAAGACTGGACATGGGGGCACTCTATTTTTAAATCCAAATATAATTTAATTATTGAGAGACCAAATCTCACCATGTAGCCATTGTTTTTGGGTCCTGGGGTTAGAACCCTGGACCTTGAACATGCTAAGCATAATCTCTACCAGCAAATCACATCCCTCCATCCAAGTCTGATTTTAAATTCAAACCTGTTTGATAGCAGTAAGATAAAATGACAAAAGATTTGATTAGTTTCCTCTGTTTCTGAAGTTCATATAAACAGAATCTCATACTGAGTGCTCCTCTGGCTTCTTTTGTACATTGTCTTGAAGATCTCTGGACACTGTTCCTTTTTATAGCTGAGTACTGTGTTTCATTGTATGAAAACCCACAATTTGCCCAGCCATTCTCCCACTGATAGACATTTGGATTGCTGCCAGTTTTGGACAATTAGGAAGAAGGCTGCTGTGAAGATGCTAATTCAAGTTTAAAGAAAAAAAAGTAGAAGTAAAACTTTTAGATGTTAAGTGTTGACTGCTCATGGGGAGGGGTACATGCTTTTAGGTGTCAGTTTCTTTTCTTTATTGTGGAAAAAAAAAAAAGAAAAGAAAACAAGGTCAACAAAATCATCTCCTAAAATATTTACACCACCCAAGACTTCTCTGTGCCCTTTACATTTTAGCCTAGTGACAGTGTGGTGAGAATGAGGCTGTGTTTGTTGAAAGTGTCTTCTATCTGGGTCTAGATGGAAGACATTTAAGAGCATGTTCGGTTCATCAGGTTCAGTTCCCAGCACCCACACAGCAGCTCACATTTGTCTGTCACTCCAGCCCCAGGGGATCCAACACCCTCACACAGACATACATGTAAGCAAAACACCATTCATAAAAATAAACAAATCACTTAAGATTATTTTTTAAAAAGAATCTAAATCCCTTCTATCAATCACTCTGTAATTTATCTTTAAAACTTGAGCTTTAAATATATATAGTTTGTGTGTGCACTCTTTCCTTGTAAGTAGAGGTGGCTATGGAGGTTAAAAAGGATGCTGGCGAGCTGGAGAAATGGCTTGGAGGTTAAGAGCACTGGCTGTTCTTCCAGAGGTCCTGAGTTCAATTCCCAGCAACCACATGGTGGCTCACAACCATCTATAATGAGATCTGGTGCCCTCTTCTGGTGTGCAGGTGTATAAGCAGGCAGAACACTGTATATATAATAAATAAATAAATTAAAAAAAAAAAAAAAAAAGAAAGGATGCTGGCTCCCCTGGTGCTAGAGTTACAGGCCTTGTGAGCTGCCCAGTGAGGCATTTGCAAGAGTACTCTGTGATCTTTTAACTGTTGAGAGCACCTCTCCAGGCCTTCTGTGGGTTATCTTTTATTCTCTTAAAAAAAAAAAAAAGGTTCATTAGTTGTATGTCATGGCACACACATATAATCCCTCTGCCTAGCAGAGAAAGGAGGCTAACTAGAAGTTCAAGGTCAGCCTGGACTGCATAGTCAGACTGTCTCAAAAAAACAAAGATAAAAACAAAAAAAACAAAAACACATGGCTCAGTGGTTAGGAGCGGCTTGTTGCTCCTTAAAACGACCTGATTTTGACTCCCAGAAAATCCACATGGTGGCTCACAGCCATCCCTAAGTTTAGTTCCTGGGATCCAACACCTTCTTCCGACCTCGAGAGTATCAGGCAAGCACACTGTATACATATAAACATGCAGGCAAGAACACTCATACACATAGAAATACAACAAACAAATAGAGAGATAATAATAATAATAATAAATAGGTCAGATGTGGTGGCACATACCTTTTTAAAATTTCTTTTTTTCAGGGCTCAGAGGTTAAGAGCACTGGCTGTTTTTCCAGAGGTCCTGAGTTCAATTCCTAGCAACTACATGGTGGCTCACAACCATCTATAATGAGATCTGGTGCCCTCTTTTGGCATGCAGGCAGAATACTGTGTAAATAATAAATCTTAATTTTTTTTTCTTTTTTCATTGAAATTTCTTTTCATACACTACGTTTTCACTATGTTTTCCCTTTCCTCATTTCCTTCCAGGTCCTTCCCACCTCCCTACTTTTTTTTTTTTTTTCTCTTTCTCTTTCACAAACAAACAAAAATCCAAGAAACAAAAACAAAACTCCCCACAAACAAGGAGAAGACCAGTAAGTCAAACAAACAAACAAAAAAACCAAAGCTAAAACAAAGTAAAATGAAACAAAAAAGTTCACAAAAATAGCATTGAGTTTGCGTTTCCAGGACGGGACCCGCTCTTGAGTGTGACTATATACCAAGTAGGGCTCCCCTAGAGAAAACTGATTTTCCTTTTCCAGACGGTATCAACTGCAGATAGCTTCTCGGGTTAGGGGTGGGACTCTGTCCATGGCCTCCTCTCCGGACCCTGTCTGGCTTGTGCAGGTGCAGGCCTTTAACCCCAACGCTCTGAGAGAGACAAGTGGGTCAAGTGAACTTGAAGCCAGGGCAGCCTGGTCTACGGAGAGAGAACTTGTCTCAAAAACCCAACCAACCAACCAAAAAAACAAAAAACTAACAATAAATGGGGGCTGGAGAGATGGTTCAGTGTTTAAGAGCATTTCCTGCTCTCACAGAGAACCTGAGTTCAGTTCCCAGCATCCTCTGTGGGTGGGTCACATCTGCCTATGACTTCAGCACCCACCAATGAGAAGCAGCCTCTGGCTTCCACGGTCGTCTCCACAGCACCACGATCATGAGCATATAGCCACACGCAGACACATACATACAAACACACAATTAAAAATAATAAAGTTAACAAACCGAGTGTTTGTCTGTGTGTGTTTGCATGTGTGTGTATCTGTGTTTGTATGTATGTACTAGTGTGCATACAGGTATGTATGGAGGACAGTTCCAGGAGCCAAAAGGAACTCTCACTGGCCTGGAGCTCACTAACTAGGCCACCACGCTGCCAGCCTTGGGAATCCACCTGTTTTTGCTTTCTCAGCACCGGGATTGCAATCACACCCAACTTTTTACAAGGGTTTTGAGGACCTTATTCAAGTCCTTGCAAATGCAAGGCAAGTACTTGACTAACTGTTCCTCTAGACTTCAAATTATAGAGTTTGAACTTTCACAGTCCAAAAAAAAAGAAAAGATGATGATGATGATGGTGACGGAGAATGAATGTGTGGTGTGTGTGCGGGTCAGAGGATGTCTTTCAGGAGTCAGTTCTCTCATTCCATCAGGTACTGAAAGTCGCATTGTTAGTCTTTGTGTGGCAGGTGATTTTACCAGGTAAGCAGTCTCTCTCTCTCCCTCTCCCCCCTCACCTCCGCACAAGACTCAAAATGTAGCCAGGCATGGCCAGGAACTCACTATAAGGAACAGGCTGAACTCAGAGACCTGCCCGCCTCTGCCTCAAAAGACAGGGTCCAGGCGGCCTTCACTGGCCTCAAACTCACTGGCGGCCAAGGATGGCCATGGGTTTCCCCATCATCTTGCTTGCACCTCCAGGCTGATGGGATTCCAGGCATGCATCACCACGCTGCTTTTCTGCAGTTCTGCAGATGAAACCCTGGGGCTCTCTTTACACTTGCCAGGGCAAACATTCCATCATTAGAGCGACAGCCCCTGTTGGTAACCTTTCAGCTAATCTAACTTTGACGTTTGAGAACGGCATAAAATAGGGCTCAGATGTACTCTATTTCTGTGTGGCATGGAACTCATAGCCCTTCATCAAAAAAAAAAAAAAAAAAAAAAAATCCGGGGCTGGAGACATAAAATAAAAATAAATACATTAAAAAAAATCCCCTTTTGGGCTGAGAGACGGCTCAGAGTTTAAGAACACACACTGTTCTTGCAAAAGACCTGGGTTCAGTTCCCAGCACCCACATGGTGCCTCAACTGCCTGCAAATCCAGTTCTGGGTGGTCTGACACTTTCTGGTTTCCATGGATATCTGCTCACATGATACACATCAACTCATGTACGAATACTCAGTGTACACATAAAAAAACAAAACAAAACAAACAAACAAAAACCCCTGAGTTTGAGGCCAGCCTGGTCTACAGACCAAGTTCCAGGACAGCCGAGGCTACACAGAGAAACCCAAAAACCCAAAACCAAACCAACCAAAAACAAAACCAAAAACCCCACAACCAACCAAAACAAACACCTCCAAAAAACCAAGGCCCCTCATTTTCTGAAGTGTCACCCTTGTTATGTAGACCCGTTTCTAGGGCTACAGAAAATTGAAAGGTAATTGAGTGTGTGGGGGAGAGGGAGGAGCATGAAGACCACATGACTAAACAATTGTTGGGTCTTCAGTCATTTAACTTCCTTGGGTCCCTGTGATGGTGGGAGATCAAACAGGATGGCACCGAAAAACCCCTGGACATTCTGACCCAGGAGGACTCAGGCAGCAGCAGTAGTATTTTTTTTCCTCTTGTTGCTATATTTCAGGTGTCACAGAGTACATGGAAACAACACCCACTTGGGGCAGGAAATGCCAGGGAAAGAGCCCAGAGGACGTGACATTTGGGTGGGTCGCGAGTGACGGTGAAATCTGTCATCTCTTTTTATGACTGCAACCTGCTGTCTGCGGCCCATTTCCCACCCGGGTTTCAGCTACGTTACCGTCTTATCTGATTTAGGAGGGCCCAGAGGGACTGTGCCCCGCCCCCTCCCAGCCCCTGTCCTCTGAAGACCCAGAGCTGGTGCTGGCTCTGTCCGTTGGACTCAGACGGACTTCCCCGAGGCCTGGGCTGGGCCTTTCAATTTTTCTGTAACTGTAGTGCCTGCCACAGGATTCCTGAGTTTCACCCACACACGGCTCCCTCCCCGAGCCCCAGCTGGCTGCCAACACCCACACCAGCAAACTCAGCCCGGGCAATGCACTGCCACCCTTGGCTGTGTCGAAATTCACACCACGCCACCCCCCCACCCCCCCACCCCCCACAGCTCAGTCTCTGCTCTGGGAGAAGAGCGCAGGGTCTTGCGCTGTGCAGACACCCTGATAAGCGTCTGGTGAATAACCAGTGAGTAACCCCAGTAGACCAGAAAACAGGAGCTGCCGCGCAGCACCGAACAGAGGAGGGCGGCAGGGCGGCGGCTCCCGGGGAGAATCCTGCCTCCTTCCCCCGCTGGGGACACGGAAAGCAGCTATGGGACGTTCTGCTCTCGATGCCCCAGCAGGTTTGGAAATGAGAGCATTACTAAACAGCTGGCCCCAGTCTGCGTTAAAAGGATGAAAGGGAGCCAGGTGTGCGAACCCTGCCTGTAGAGCCAGCACTTGGGAAGACAGGCGGCAGTGTGAGGCAATCCAGGGCTACATACGAGAACCGTGTGTGTGTGTGTGTGTGTGTGTGTGTGTGTGTGTGTGTGTGTTTAATGGGTATGTGGATCACACATGTGCCTGTATGCACATATAGCTCACAGTCTCACACACAGAGAGAAAAAGAAAGAATTATTAAGGACAATCAGCAGAGGAAAATGGAATAGATACGGGGAAAAGTTTGCTGTGTCTTTATGTCTTTCCACGGTGTTAAAACTTTAGACTCATAAATTGCTACTTTTTTTATTTTATTTTTATTTATTTATTTTTAGCCGTGGTGCATCTCCAGCTTTCGGGAGGCAGAGGCAGGCAGATCTTTGAGTTCGGGGCCAGCCGGGTCTACAGAGTCAGTTCTAGGAAAGCCAGGGCTACACAGAGAAACACTGTCTCAAAAAAGCAAAACAAAAGAAAGAAAAGGCCGTAAGGATCGGAAGATGTAGCTCAGCTGGCAGAACGTTTACCTGGAGTGCGTCGGTCCCGATGACGGAGCCACAAAAGCCAGGCGTGCTGTTACTCCCCTGTCATCCCACCACTCTGGAGACAGGGTCAGAAAGACCAGAAGGTAAAGGTAATCCTTGGCTGCCAAGTGAGTTGGAGGCCATTTAGAGCTACAAGAGACTTTGTCTAAAACAGTACACACACGCTTACTTATACCATTATACCATGAGAAAAAGTCCATCTAGCCTCCGGTTCCTGTAAAATTATTTTTTTACCAGCAGGGGGCAGCAATGACTCTCAAATAGCCCTGACATCAGCACTAAACTGAGGGTTAGTGTCCACAGGTTTCCAGGTCCAGGACCAGATGCTGTCCTTGGATCACTAGACCATAAAGAAAACGAAAGGCAACCACCACAGGAGGCTTTAGATGCTGTAGGAATAGCTGAATAAAACGTTTCCCATACAGTTCTTCTATCGATTCCGAAAACCTTTTTTTGCCCTGAAGTTCAGTTTTCTCATCTGATAAATTCTATGGATTTGCTGAAATCACTTTTAAAAGCTCTTTTTCCATCTATTAAAAAACAAAGAACAAAAAAACAAAACCTCACTTTAAGCCAGACGTGGTGGCCTTTAATTCCAGCACATGAGAGGCAAAGGCGGGCGGATCCGAGTTCTAGGTCAGCCTGGATTAGAGAAGGAGTTCCAGGGCAGCCAGGGCTACCCAGAAAAAAGCATGTCTCCAAAACACCAATAAACAAACAAATAGATAGAAAAGATAAAATAAAACCTTAGGTGCGTGTGGTAACCCATGCCTTGTTGCATTCATCAGGCGAAAGCAGGCAGATCTCTATGAGTTTGAGGGCAGCCTGGTCTACACAGTAAGGTCCAGGCCAGCCGGTGCAACACAGTGACAATCTGACTTAAAAAAAAATAATAAACCTTACAGATCAAAGTCAGCATCGTGAAGAAGCAAGCCCCAGTGTTCTCTGAAATTAATTGGCTTATCAAGTTATCTGTTAGACGGTCCTCAGCTGATCCGGATGAATTATTAGCAGTTTATCTTTAGAATACTATTTTTTTGTTGTGTGTTGATGGGGGGGTACTGGTATTTATTCAAGTCACTGATGGAGAAAAAGGAGCTCTCCCACTCTA